AATGTGACATTCAAAATTTTTATTTTTATTATCATGGTAGAACTCTAGATATTTTCATCAATTTACTAGCTTATACTCTGATTTCATGCACTTGACTATGTTTTTTCTTTCTCAAAAAAACAGTATTCACCAAAGCTTTGTCAATAAGACTTTCTCTTTGGACAATAAAGCATATTTATTATTATTGTATGTAGTATTTCACATCTAGAAGTATTCATACTCAATATGTTTTCCCAAGTGCCAATTATATATGCCAGTTATATAGCCAATTTATCGTTTCACCCTACATTTGACCAATATCTAAAGGAAGTTGAAATCGAATATAGAGTGTATATGGATGTTGCTCATTAGAACTCATTTTGACTGAAAATTTGCCAGTCAAATGCATTTTTCCAAATGAGATTTTTTACTTAAAAACTATTTAGCTCTGAAGTTTAATGATTTTGCAATGATGACCATTTTGTATGCTTTACAGTTCAATGAGTTTCATTTCCTATTGACGAAAAAATACTTACTGACTAAAGTGAAGTACGGTAAAGAGTTCTTGTTGAAAAATTGTTCGGAACAAGCATCTTCCTTGCGGTTAGTCTGTGAGCCCATTTGAACTTCCATTATGTGAGAATCTCTTCGATAGAGTGACATGCAGATGTATCCGTTTTGACTGGAACAATACAAATGGAGGTTGAAAAATAAATTAGAGAATGAAGAATAGTGATTATGATGAAAAAAAAAATACGTTTCAAACTTATAACCATAAGAACCATAACCTGCAGCTCGTAGCATAAGTCACAACAGGGTGAAAATTGCTTTTCAGACGAGTTTCATACTATACTTTTTCTATGACTGAAATAGCTATATTGATATCGACTACACAAAAATACACCAGGTGTTTATGAAAAATCGATAATAGAAAAGACTAAATTCATATCGGTTTATTGAGAATTATAACTTATAGTTATCTCTGGACAATTTCGAAAACTTATTTTTTTAAAGACAGAGCACAAGCACTAAAGGAAAATCCTTAGGGGCTCTAAGAGCGGTGACATTGGGTTTGAATCGCTGGAGACTATATTCATTTGGAAAAATGTTCTCAGGAAGTTTATTCCACCTACACGCAGTTCTCTGAATGAAAGAGTTCTTAAGCAGTGAAGTTCGAAGCGTACTGAGTTGAATCTAAAAACGATGAGCAGCCACAGTCCGTCGCGTATTCCTAATATGTACCGCTCTTGGTGGAATCAAATGTGCCAAGCCACTTGAATACCTCCCGTGGAAGTATCTATAAACTAGAGACCTATCTCCAAGCTCCATAACAGTTTAGTTTGTGAAAGGTAAAAAACTCCACTGAGGATACACTATAAAAACTATAAAAACATACTTTTGTCTATTTTACACGATCGTTTTATATTTGTTTCGGTCATTACACCAATTTCAAAACTAACTAGATTACATTCAAATCTGAGTAATTTATACCTATATTGTCTATACCGGGAATAACCTCAATTAATAGCAGTATATCGATGAACATGAAAAAATTGATAAAATGTAGGTTTTGGGAACTAAGTTATAGGTTCAGGAGAGACCTATTGTTTAAATCAAGTTGTTCGTTGAGGATTATTATCCCATTAACGCCTATTCCAATTCTATCTCAATTCTATTGAATTGGGATTTTTCTTTGGCTTGTTTTTATGTTTCGAATTTTGATGTTCGTACATTAATGATTTTTTATCCGAAATGACATGTTCGTGGTACCTTATATCAAAATTTCTACCAGTTTGGCCTGTATATATGGCGGGGCATTCACTGAAGCAGTTTTTCAGGTTTTCTCCAGACGGTTTTTATGTAGTTCCCTGGGCACATTCTCAGTACTATTTGTGTGTCTCATTTTTGTATTCATTCATCTGGCCCTTTCATCACAGATTTTCGTACTCGTACAGCTAGTTCAGGAGTAATATGTTGAGCTGATGATCCATGCCTATAAGATTCATCAGCTTTTTTGTTTCCTGTATTTCCTGTGTGGACAGGCACCCAGTAGAGAGTCCGTCTTTCTCGATTTTTTAGTTTCTTCAGTTACTCATGAGTAATCCAGAACAGCCTCAAAGTGACTGTTGGGTTCGTTGATGCCTGAAATGCAGCCTGTTTTTCTTTGGAAATATTGATCTGTCTATTTCGTTAAAGTCTCAAATTGGTAGATATGTTCTCTCTTTCTTTGAAGTTCTCTTGGCGTTTGTGTATTTCTATGGCTTCTAACTACATTCTTTTTGAATAATGATTCGACGTTGCTAGCCTCGTGGTATTTTCGAAAAGGATCTTTTGTTTCCCGTCGGACACTGCATCCTCAATGACTGCAGACTTCTTGGTCTGTTCCAAACGACAACTCCGCTTGTGCTCAACTAGGCGGTTACCAATGCTTGTTTTCGTCTGACTGATATAAACTTCACCACAGTTTAAAATCTGTTTCTGTTCAAAATCTGTTCTTTCGGTNAATAAAACTTCAACATCCTGTATCTTGGAAACGAAGCGTTTCCGGACATTTATTTATTTGGACAATTCATATTAGAATATTGTGAGGAATCACCTCCTGAAGTTTGTCAAAGTACTTTTGAATCACCCTGTATATGGCGGGGCATTCACCACATTCTAGTCGATATATACCAAATCTCTTCCCTTTGTCTAATTCAGGTTTGGCATCAAATAATCTGTTTCCTTAATTTCCGTTGGATGTGTAGGATGTTTGTAGATTGAATTTTGAAAGATAATTTTAATATTCTCGGAGAATCTACCTGGATAATGGATACTAACATATTTGTGTTCTGGTCTTGTGGAAATTGAATATAAGTAGTTCTTTCATTACTAGAGTAATAGGTATTTTGTCATCAACTGCTATTTGTTTAATGGTTGCGATTTCACTTCGGAGGTTTCGATTAGGAAGGCGTATTGTGAAAGCCATATGTGTCATTAAATACTACAGGTAACCATAATTGAGACTACCTTCAAAAATTACCTAAGCCTCTATCTAAGGTACTTGTTCAATTATGATCACCTGAAGCGTATTACCTCACATCTACATCAATAATAATTCTTTCTCGGTATTTAAGAAAACAAGTTCAATAATGGTGATCTATTCAAATCCAGTTGGACATTCATTAGAATATTTGAATTTTCAAGTTTATTAATTTCCATTGCTTTCAAATGATTCAATTTCAAACCTTCATTTTCTATGTGCAAAATTTCGAACTCTTCGTAAAATATATTCTATATGACTTAAGCCTCCTCTGTTCTCCAATGCACGAGCCGTCACTGCTGTATAGTGAATCAATTTCGATAACAACACAAATTGAATATACCTATCCGAGGATTTTTCATCAATAAGATGAGTTTGGCAGAAAATAATTTATTCCAACCTTCATGTACTTACAAACTATGCAAAGGAAAAAGCGGAATGTATGGAGCGGAATAAAATCGAAACCGCAGCGAGTTAGCAATTTAATATCGATGACGCCGCCTTCAAAACTTTCATATTGTTGGCTTATTGAAATGAGATGGAGTTTCGCGAATTTTTCAATCGACATTTCCAGTAGTAAAAACTCCGCATCTGCGGTATTAAATGAAGCAGCCATGGCTACATTGAAGTCGACATGCACCAATTTAAACTTCTGAAATATGATGATTTACTATTCAGCTGATTCACAAATTTCCTAACGGTAGACAGTTCGACGTAGCTTTTGACCATCCAATGTTATTTACTATGGTAGATTCATTGATTTAGATGATGTATTTACTGAATTAATTGAGAGAAATATAACGGTGATGTTTTTTTTTTGATTTTTCAAAGTCGTTTTATATTATTAATCACAATTATCTTGCGACGAAACTGCAATATTTCAGCTTTTTAAGTGATTCTTAAAATCAATGGGAAGTGTATTCCTCGGAAAAATTGCCCCTATGATATGGGTACAATACGAAAAAACATATAAATTCACTCTTAATCCAATTGAAATCGAAATTTTGAGATAAAAGTCGTAATCTCAAGATTAAAGTCGAAATTTTTGAGAATCAAATGAAAAAAAAATGAAAAACAAATGAGATTTTTGACTTTAAACTCGGAATTCCGACTTTGAACTGTAAATTTCCACTTTGAACTCGGAATTTCGACTGCAATCTTGAAATATTGACAATATTCTCGAAATTACGTCGTCGAACTCGAAATTTCGACTTTGAACTCTGATTTTCGACTTCAAACTCACAATTTCGACTTTAATCTTGAAATATTGACATTCATCTCGAAATTACGTCATTGAACTCGAAATTTCAAAATTGAACTTGGAATTTCGACTTGAAACTCGAAATTTAGACTTTTTTCTCGAAGTTTTGACTATCAACTCGAAATTTCGACCTTGAATTCGAAGTTTCGACTTCAAATTCGCAATTTAGACTTTAAACTCAAAATGTAGACTTTGAATTCGGAATTTTGACTTGAAATATTGACAATAATCTCGAAATGACGTCTTCAAACTCGAAATTTCGACTTTAAACTCTGAATTTCGATATTGAACTCGGAATTTCAACTTTGAACTTGAAATTTCGACTTCAAACTCGAAATTCAGACTTTATACTCGGAATTTAGACTTTACACTCGAAATTTAGACTTTGAACTCGGAATTTCGACTTGGACTCGAAATTTCGACTTTAAACTTGAAATATTGACATTAATTTCGAAATAATGTCTTTGATCTCGAAATTCTTAGCAGTAGGATTTCTGACTGGCCACTGTCAACTAAGGAAACACCTCCATAATATGGGGTTAGTGGACACAGCTCTATGCAGGATGTGTGAACAGGAAGATGAAACTGTCAGGCATGTCCTATGCGAGTGTCCGGAGTTATCGTCAATAAGATAGTGTATGTTCGGCAAGTCTTGGCCTACACCTGCCGATATAAAGGAGATGTCTTCTAGTTACCTGTCCACCTTCCTGGAAAGGACAGGTTGGACGATGACCTAAGAGGACACCTCGGAAGGATGTACAATGGGTCACATGTGGCCTAAGTGCTTTATAGATACAGATACAGAACCAGTCATTCAACTTTCAATGTCAGGTTTTTAGTAAATCTGTGAACTAAGTGTGTACCACAAAGTAACATTCTGTGGCCACATGAAACTAAATGTTCAGCGGTGAGTGGTATTTTTCAAGTTTGAACCATATTCAATATATCATACTTTCAAATTTCTCGAGTACAAATACACAACCGTTTCAACCATTACAGTCTCATAATTAAGTTATTCCTAAGTCATGTATCTGTTGATCATCTTGGATAGATCGCTCTGAGTGATACAGTGAGGCATACAACAGTCCAGATGAGCCAAGCACTGTGTGAATGTGCACGTATTGAAGAATTTGTCTCGACGCATTTCCCTGAAAAAAAATTATGTTTGTCAAGTTTGGAATCATTCATCATCAATTACACAATCATCACTAATTTACGGCTGAATAGTATTCAGGTTAATTTTCATTTTTATGTCCCCTTCAAAAGTAGGAGTCTTTCAAATTAAACAAGATTCCAATTGCTGGAATTTAACCAAATAAGCGAATGAATTGCATTACATACTATCATCTATGACATGCGTAGATCAAACTTATTCGTGACATAACGTCGTAGTTTCATGAATGAATTGAGTGCTTCATATTATAATGTTATCCAGATTTGGTGCTGAAGAGGCAATAAGTTCAGCAAGTATCTTATGCCGAAACATTGCATGTCCACCAGTGAGGATGACAGTGTTCCATGTAAGTGAAATTTTACCTCATTCATTTACTATATTGTATAGTAATCCTTTGAATGATATCTGATTCATTTCCATTACGAATGTTTGAAATACAAACTGAATGGAGAAAAGTGTTTTTGATTAATTCATTATTCATATTATGAGAGTATTTCTTTCGACGAAAGTTTTTTTTTCATGTAATTGAATGTTTAAGTTATTCCTTTGCATAATCTACACAGAAACTATCGATAGTTTCTGAAATATTTTAATTATCGATACTATCGATAGTTCACTGATTATCGTGAAATAGTAAACTTAGTCGTCACACTTGTCACTTTCTGATTTGACATTGACAATTGACAGTTGAATTTGACTGAAAGTCAAAATATAACATAATCTCAAATGNTTCCAATAAGAGCGGTACATATCAGAAATACGCGACGAACTGTGGATGCTCATCGTTTTCAGGATCAACTCAGTACACCTCAAACTTCACTGTTTAAGAACTCTTTCATTTAGAGAACTTCGTTTATGTGGAATAAACTTCCTGAGAACGTTTTTCCAAATGGATTTAATCTCCAGCGATTCGAATCCAATGTAAATCACCTATTTCGCACAGGCACCGCTCTAAGAGCGCCTTAAGAATTTTCCTGAAGTGATCTGGGCAAAGACGGTGACGAATTTCCAATCGAGGTATTTTTACGAAGAATTTTGTATTTTAAGAATGGAAACAGACTGATTTATGAAACGTTAGCCCTTTCTAAAGGAAAGCTGAGTATATCAATTGTTTCTTCCATTGAATTTTCTTATTTGACAGGCAAAATTTATAAATATAGCAAGTTACTGACTATTCAGAGGCATAAATTACGTAGTAACTTCTCGGGATCAACTTTTGATTTAGATTTATGAATTTATCAAATTGTTCAGGGTTGAGGTTCTGATAACACCAAGAAACAATGACGCTTCTATGAAAAACTGATGACTGCTACGAATATTCGTTGACATATATTAACGATAGAGTATCCACCCTGATTCAAACGATTGGTATGACATTGAGTTTGGAAACGAACCGAACGAACTTCAATAACTCCATTCCTATACACTCTCTGAAATTATCTGATCTATCTCGTTACCCAACAACAAAGAACCGAATAGGGATGCGCGAATGAACCTTTGTCATCACTCACACTCCGAACAATGGTACAATGAATATTGTGTAGTGAGTTACTGACATTTAAAAATTCTTTTTGAAATCGTGGAAACACGGTCACAGCCATAAATTAGTTGTGAGAGTGCCGATATTTCTGTCGCAACCCCTAACATGTAGCTGGATAATGGCCAATTGCCAGCCATGTAGAACGCATTCGAGCATTTTACCCTGTTCGTTGATATCAGAGACAAAACTGATGGAAGATACATGGATGGTGAAATTGAAACAATAGAGTAGCTTTTATTTCCATTTCAATTGAGATATTCATTGACGTTGCATCGCCATATTCTGAGATAGAGACTACTACTTTGCTATGTGTGACTAGATGGATATACCTTTCGAGAAGGTATTGATATGAAATAACCATGTCTTGAATAGGAAACAGCAACAAATCAGAACCGGCTCAGTTTATATCTGAGTTTGCATTAGCTGAAAATGGACTAACTTTTGTTGTACAAAGTTAACGAAGCAATACAGTGTGTTCCTAAACATCGTGCACATACGAAAGGGGGTAATTCTTTGGCTTATTTCATAACTACAAGTTCATATAAACATAGGTCCGCAAACGCTTCGTTACCGATTTACTGGGTGTTGAAATTTCAAGATTTTTCTTGTTATTTCTTTGGAGCTCCTGCTCGAGATATTGAGCTCAAATTTGGAATCTAGATTGCGTTATAGGGCATACATTAGTCGGTTTTGTCAGATGGTTGTTGATTCTACAAGGTGATATTTTTTCAGGAGTCATGTTCCATTTTCTCCCCCTGAACTTTTTTACTGTGCGCCGCTGGTAGATTCTAAAATACAAAATGAANGACAAGTGTATTATATCTGAAGCGAACTTCTCCACAGATACAGAGAGGAGGGGGATACAAATCGTTCCTGAAATTTATTGAAGGCTGGAAGGTCTTCCATATCGTTTTCTAAAATAGTTCAACCGGTAAGTCAATATTTTTTATTTTATTAAATTGAATTCGAATACACCAAATCGAAATAAAGAATCTAATAATCATGAAGTTTATTTTCAAATATCCTTGCAATGGATCATTGATACTGACCTGTACTACTGATATTGAAAATGAGTTCTCCAGTAACTCCTGGCTTCACCAGTCGATTACAGTTATCTGCCGATGTGGAAAACATCACTCCAGATATCGACTCTTTGTAAATGAAACAATACCTCCTTGCTCCGTGCGAAGATCTGCTCACTGGCGTGGTTATCAGGAAATTTGTTCCATTCTCTTCCCATCTACCGTGACACGAATAAGCTGAAAACAATTCGATAAGTATATTTATACGATAAAACGCTGAATACGGCCTGACAAAGTTTTATAGATTGCCAGCCATACTGAATTTTTGAGGGGTCATATAGTCATTGAATACGATTGAATTAAATCGTCCAAACTGTGGGTTTAGGTCGTTAATTGATTTTATATGTCGTGTACCTTGATATAATTCTAAGGACTTGGAAGAATATCAACATTACTTATATTTTTTCAAGATACACACTAACTACTTGACCTAATTCATATTTGACAATGTTTTAATATCAATTATTCGGGCGATTTCCAGTTGTACTCGTGGTTGTTTCATCATCATATTACAAATGTTCAGTTCACGATTCAATGGAGACGATTTCGACGCTGTGAGATAATAAAGGAACGTGGCAAAATAATTCGTTCTTTGCGAACCGACTAGATTTCCCCGATGAAGTCTTATGTTTAAATGGGCAAAATGACGATATTGGGCTCCTGAGAATCAATATTGGAAAATGGAGGCTCATATTCAATGTTCACAAACTTGTAACTTATTGATCAGAGTAGTAAAACCTCAATATTGAGATCATGTTCCATTGAAGGTTCTTCAACTTGAAAAATTCGCTTTTTGTATTTATTCATCAATTTTTATTGTGCCCCCTTCAAAGTAGCCCCCCTCAGATATAAAACATGTGTGCCAGCATTTTTTCCAATCTTCTAAGCAGATCTGATATGCACTCTTTGATATGTCCTTTAGCTCTTTCAGCGATTCGATTTTCATGTCTTCAGTTATCGCAAAACTGCGTTCTTTCATGGGTCTATTCTATCTTGAGAATAAGAAGAAGTCGAGAGGGTGAATACGGTGGCTGTAGCATGATCACGGTCTTGTTTTCAGCGAGAACATTACAATGAAGCAATGACGAGTGAGCAAGTGCAGAAATCATCATTTGTGTTTCCACAATACTGGACGTTGTCTTTGTATTGCTTCTAGCAAGCGGCTCATTACTTCAAGATAATACCGTTATCATTCCTCAGCCACCGTATTCACCAGATTTCTCCCCCTGGGATTTTTTCTGTTTCTATAATTGAAGAGACCCATGAAAACACGGCGTTTGTGACGATTAAGGAGATAAAAGCCGAATCGCTGAAAGCTCAAAGACATATCCGAATTGCTTTGAGGATTGAAAAAACCGTTAACACAAGTGTACTATATCTGAAGGGGAATACTTTGAAGGGACAAATTTTTTTGGAAAAATGAAAATTCACTTTATTTTTTGAACAAACCTCGTATAGTTTACGAAGAAGTATTGCTAAAGTCGAAATTTCGAGTTTAAAGTCGAAATTTCGAGATTAAAGTCGAAATTTCGAGATTAAAGTCGAAATTTCGAGATAAAAGTCGAAATTTCGCGATTAAAGTCGAAATTTCGAGATAAAAGTCGAAATTTCGAGATTGAAAGTCGTAATTTCCAAGAAATAAATAATAAAAATATGTGGCCCTTCTACGCTTCCGTATTTCATCGTCATATTACAAATATTTAGTTCACGATTCAATGAAGACGATTTCGACCCTGTGAGATAATAAAGGAACGAGGCAAAACGATTCGTTCTTTGCGAACCGACCAGATTTCCCCGATGAAATCATATGTTTGAATGGGCAAAATGACGATATTGGGCTCCTGAGAATCAATATTGGCTCATATTCAATGTTTACAAACTTTTAACTTTTCGACCAGAATAGTTGAAACCTCAATATTGAGATCATGTTCCATTGAAGGTTCTTCAATTGAAAAATTCGCTGTTTGTATTTATTTATCAATTTTTTTTGTGCCTCCTTCAAAGTAGCCCCTCTCAGATATAAAACACTTATGCCAGCATTTTTTCCAATCTTCGTAGCAGATCTGATATGCACTCTTTGGTATGTCCTTGAGCTCTTTCAGTGATTCGATTTTCATGTCTTCAGTTATCGCAAAACTGCGTTCTTTCATGGGTCTATTCTATCTTGAAAACAAGAAGAAGTCGAGGGGGACAAATCTGGTGAATACGGTGGCTGTAGCATGATCACGGTCTTGTTTTAAGCGAGAACATTGCAATCAAGCAATGACGAGTGAGCAAGTGCAGAAACCATTATTTGTTTTTTCACAATACTGGACGTTGTCTTTGTATTGCTTCTCGCAAGTGGCGCATTACTTCAAGATAATACCGTTATCATGCCTCAGCCACCGTATTCACCAGATTTCTCCCCCTGGGATTTTTTCTGTTTCTAAAATTGAAGAGACCCATGAAAACACGGCGTTTGTAACGATTAAGGAGATAAAAGCCGAATCGCTAAAAGCTCAAAGACATATCCGAATTGCTTTGAGGATTGAAAAAACCGTTGACACAAGTGTACTATATCTGAAGGGCAATACTTTGAAGGGACAAAATAGAAATTGATGAATAAATAATTATTTTTTGGAAAAATGAAAATTCATTTTATTTTTTGAACAAACCTCGTATAGTTTACGAAGAAGTATTGCCTATGAACAACTGCATCTCTTTTCAATAATTGAATAATGAAAATTTGAGACAATTTTTGATTAGTATAACATTCAAAATATAGATGAGTGTTGCTTAATATAATTGTT